ACCTCTGAGCTTTGCTCTGCTTCTCCTGATCCCCACACAGAGAGCTTGTAGAGGGAGGGACTCCCTCCTCTCTGTCCTCACACTGATCCATGCTGCTCAACTCACAGCAGCTCACACACACTTTCTAGCTTCACCTGAAGAGGAAACAAACATCACTGATCCACTGAAATCCTCCTGAAAAACATGAGCTGCTGCACTTCTACGATCAGTCCAGCAGATGGAGTCATGGAGCTGCAGTGGTTTTCAGAGAACGACTGTCTGCAGAGCCGGAGGCTGCACTCTCAGGACCACAGCTTCTTCTGCAGCCGCATGTTGAGACCCTTTTTTTCAAGACAGCGCCACCTACCACAATGAATGATCGCCAACATGTGTGATTTAGTTCTAAAGGATGATTTCTCTCAAAATATATTTACAATTTAAAAGGTTGATCCAAGAACGATTCCACACAAAGTTCTACTTCATGTCCAAGTACCTATAATTTTAAAGGTTTTTTCATCCAAATAGTGCTTTTTAACTCACAAGTTAAGGTTTGAACGGTTTATTCCAGCCAAAATACGAATTATTACAATTATAGCTGGTTGCTGAGACTTGCATTTGGGCAAATGGTGTAATTAACACACTTAGAATAGAATAGAATAGAATAGTAGAATAATAATGGACTCTGCTGCTGTGGCCTCTGTGGTCTGTGGTCCAGATGCAGCAGTCTGAGTGTGTTCAGAGCTCTCAGGACCCACCGACAGGTCGCTGGTGTTGGTGTCACCTGCTGAGTTGGATGCTGAAGAAAGCAGCAGCATTTGTCGCCGTGATGGAGGACGGTCACGACGTGAGTCCTGGTGGTGAATCGTTTTATTAGTTTAATGTTGTAAAACAAATAAACGTTTGTTTATATCGTTTTGTTGTTTAACGGTATGAACATTTCTGCTGTCTTCATCTGCACAGAGAGCTGTTGGTAACTCGCTGAACTGTGAGAAAAAACATGTTTTAAATTGTCATTAAACAGCAAACGGTCACATTTTAACTGATGGAAGCTGCAGTAAAACCAGCGTTTAGCTTGTTTCTGTTAAACTGAGTCATGGTGAGATTTGGGCAGCAGAGCTCAGAGATGATGATAATTAACTCCAGACGGCATTAATGAACCTTGATCAGATGATAGAAGCCTGTTGACATGATGACTGTCAGCTCCATGAAGCAGCCATAACCCTGTTCATGTCCTCATTGTTTTACATTCTAATCATGTTAACAACTGTCATGTTGGTCACTGCAGACATCTGAACTGGTCCCAGTAGAGAAAGGAGAGGTGTAATAACTCTGGCTTCATTCCTCTGAGCAGAGCTCCTGCTGTGATGCTGCTGCTTCTGTCAGAGTTTAGAAGAACTTTATGGAGCTCAGTCATCAGCTACCTGGACACGTCCATCCTGGGACTAGTCCACATGTCTGCTGTTCAACACTATGAACTACATTTTCCTCCACAGGACGTGTTGTCATAGTTCTTCTCTTCATTCTGTCATTGTGTTGTCATGTTGAGACACTGAGCATTTTAACACTTAATGCTGATGTAGGATTGCTAGCATAGCAGGAGCAACTCTTATCAGCCACCTTTGTCCATTAATTCTGTTTCTTCTCATTAAAAGTATTTATATGATTGTGAGAACAAATTTAAATAATGAGAATTTTCCACAGATTTCACTTATTTTCTATGGAATATACAACCTCCATACCTATTATAGACATGCGACTTGTTGAAATGACAACAGACAGGAGACAAGCAAATGGTGCAAAAATATTAAAATGAAAAACAATCACTGGTATAAACATGTTTAATGGAAGCAGGATAATGTATCACAACACAAAAACAAAATTATTTTACTTTAAAAATTTCAGGAAATACACTTAGTTTAATACATATTTATACGAAAAAGCATTTCACCAGAACTACCGGTTTCAGTCTGACATGATTTAATTGAGCAACAGCAGTGATGGAAATAATACTGTGACTGAGGGTTAGGCTTAGAAGTGCCCTACACTGTTCACTATGCAGTAGTCCCTAGATAGGCAGTAGGGACGGAGTAGGTATTTCACCCAGAACCTCTCTCTTCTTTTCGGCCCACCAAGGGCTTCTGGGAACTATCTGAAATCTATGTGAATTGTGTTACCAGTGAGCCTTTTGGACCTTTACCGTGGGGGCATTCTCATTTTAGTGTCTCTGGGTCAGCTCGGTGACATAACATGCCACCTTATTTAAATATAAGGATTCTAAAAAAAAAAAGAGCGATTAAATAAATGTGTCATTAGGGTATAAAAGGCCTTTGAAATGAATAACAGAGTGACAGAGAGAAATAAAAAAAACTTTTTTTTATTACATTTGTTTATATGTTTATTGTCTGATTCCTTTATGTCAGAGGTTATTTCATAGCTACATTTATTTATTTATTTATTTCATTTTAACATGTATTTATTTATCTATATATTTGTTGTTTGGAATGACAATAATCTGTCATTCCATAGTTAAACTCTGTTGTGATCTCTGACTGGGGCTTCAGGTTTTGTCAAGGTGATTTACACAAAGATAGCCTCACTATGTTAAACTTGCTTCTCAGTACAACCGCCTGATCTGTTTATTTGGTTTTGTTTTGTTTTTTAACAAATGTTGTAAATCGTCACACACTCTATACCAGTTTGGTGCCGGTAATCTACCAATCCAGTGTCTGCTAACAGGTAGGATGTGTCTGCAGAGCCAGAGGCTGCACGTCTAGGAGGGTGGTAAACCAAAGGAAGTAGCAGCATTTCTCTTCATGATGGACAGCTACAATGTGATACTGATCGTGAATCGTTTTAGTTAATGTTGTAAACATTTCTGATGTCTTCATTTGTGCAGCAAAACTGTTGTTAACCTCCTATAGTGAGAAACAAACTTTTGAACTCTTCATTAAACACTGCAAACAGGTTTTATCGAAATACAATTGCTGTAAAACCAACCCTTAGCTTGTTTGCTGATTTGTTTCACGAGTCATAGCACGATTTTGGCAGCTCAGCTCAGAGATGATGATAATTAACTATAGACAGCATAATGAAACTCCATCAGATGATAGAAGCCTGTTGAAATGATCTCTGTCTGTCTACAATAAGCATCTATAACCTTCAGTGTGAATGCTCACTACTCACTGTTTTACATTTTTAATGATGTTAATAAAGCTGCAGTTATGTGAACTGGTCCCAGTTTAAACCAGAGTTGTTAATACTGGATTCCTCTTAGAGCTGCTGGTTCTGTCACAGTTTACTGAGAACCTTTATGGAGCTCAGTCATCAGTTGTTCCTCCTGTGACGAGTCCAAGTGTCTGCTGTAGAAAGGTTCAACAGTGAAATTATATTTTCCTCCATAGTGCGTGTTTTCATAGTTAGTCTTTTCATTGTGATACTGTTTGTAATGTTGAGACATGTAGTGTGTCCTTGGTCCAGTAACTGTCTTCTCTGTTTGAAGGTGCAAATAACAACTCAACAAGTGAGATCCTTCCCATATTGAACACCAGATGCTACCAACATTACCACCACTGTCCACTCTGTTGCTTTGTAAAACCATGAAAAATAAAATATATTTTGCCACAGCAAAAAAGTGATCTAAGGAAGGGAACCCCAGAGGCCACAGCATATGTTTCTATTATTATTTCACCTGATAATGATGTATGTATGTTATATCACAATTTGTGCAAATGCAAGTCTTAGCAACCAAGTTATCATTATTATTATTGTAATAAGTAGTATTTTGGGTGGAATAATTCTTTCAAAATTCAGTTTGTTAGTTCAAAAAATATACTATTTTGGTGGAATAAACCTTTTAAAATGACAGGTACGTGGACATGAAGTAGTATTTTCTGTGGAATATTCCTTGAATAATCCTCGTAAACTGTAAGTATATTGTGAGCGAAATCGTCCTGTAAAACCGGGAGTCGTGCACTTCAGTGATCATCCACCGCAGGAGGTGGCGCTGTCTACAGGAGAACGCTCTAAACGTGCGGCCTGTCGGCGCCGAGGCGAAGAAGAAGGAACTCTGGTACCGGAGGTAAATCATATGTCAGTGGACATGTCTACTCTTGAGTTTGTGCGCTGACTTGATATAGCATCATATCGACAAATTAATTCGCAAAGTCCATATTAAGTTTATCGTGAGGTGTTTACAGCACTTCCGGCCCTGCTGACTGACAGGCTGGTAGCCCGACATTCGCAATGAGGACTGTTCTGATGGTGGCCGAGAAACCGTCCCTGGCCCAGTCGATTGCCAAAATACTCTCCAAAGGTAGGTTTGACGTTATAGTTATATAAAATATGAGAGAGAGTCACTCATTTTAATTTAGCTTTGTGGTAGAATCTTCGAGTGTTGTACCAGGTACCAGCGTGGTTGTTCGAGTAACAGTAGTTTAAGACACTTCACTCATACCCCTTTTCCACCAAACTGGTTCCAGCGCTGGTTCGAAGCCGGTGCCTAGCGTAGCACCAGTTCTTTGTTACCCCTTTTCCACCAAACTGGTTCCAGCGCTGGTTCGAAGCCGGTGCCTAGCGTAGCACCAGTTCTTTGTTACCCCTTTTCCACCAAACTGGTTCCAGCGCTGGTTCGAAGCCGGTGCCTAGCGTAGCACCAGTTCTTTGTTACCCCTTTTCCACCAAACCGGTTCCAGTGCTAGTGCCTGACTTAGCACCAGTTCTTTGTATTTTCACCGCCTGAGCACCGGCTCCAGGTTCTCAAAACTGGTGCTTAGCAAGAACCAACTCAAGCTGGGCCAGAGAAAAGCACCGAGTACGTCAGGGGCTGGGGGCGGAGTTATCATGACCACCGAGACCGATGAATGAATGGGACACACAAACGGAGCGCACCTACGTGCGCTGTTTATTCCGCTCATAGAAAAGACCGCATGAGGAAAAAAAATCACTCAGTTTCATCTTGGACAAATCTGACATTAGAGCGCCCTAGTTTACTCTTGTTAATTCTTTTAATTAACTTAATAATTTAACTTAATTAATTAACTCTTGTCATTTTTGGTCGCACACCGGTCTGAGCACCGCGGCCACCAACAGCCTGTTTGAGATGAACTGGTGATATTCAGTAAGCGAGGGAGCTGTTACAGCGGGAATGCAGACCGTA